TTCATCAAATGCATAAATGTTGTTGGGGCATTGGTTAGCCCAAAAGACATCACAAGGAACTCGTAATGACCATACCGAGTCCTGAAAGAAGTCTTCGAGATATTTGGCTCCCGAATCATCAGCTGGTGATAGCCTGAACGCAAGTCAATTTTAGAGAATACACTGGCACCCTGAAACTGATCAAATACGTCATCAATACGTGGCAATGAATACATGTTCTTTACTGTAACCTTGTTCAACTGTCGGTAATCAATACACATCAGCATAGAACCATCCTTTTTCTTTACAAATAAGACAGGAGCACCCCAAGGCGATACACTGGGCCGAATGAAGCCTTTATCAAGCAGCTCCTATAACTGCTTTTTTAATTCTTTCAATTCTGCTCGGGCCATACGATATGGTGGAATAGAAATGGGCTGAGTGCCGAGTAACAATTCAATGCCAAAGTCAATATCCCTATCAGGTGCATACCCGGAAGATCTGCTGGAAATACATCGGGAAAGTCCCTTACTACCGGAACTGACTCCACGGTAGGAGTATCAATACTAATATCTCTCTCATAGGCCAGATACGCATCACACCCCTTCTCAACCATTCGTTGAGCCTTAAGAAATGAAACAACCCTGCTAGGAACATAATCCAAGGTACCTCTCCACTCTATCTGCGGTAGACTTGGCATAGACAACGTCACCATCTTGGCATAACAATCAAGGATAGCGTGATTGGGCGACAACCAGTCCATGCCCAAAATAATATCAAAATCCATCATACTGAGAAATAATAAATTAGCTCTGGTCTCAAAACCACTGATAACAATCAGACACGACCGATACACGTGATTAACAATAATAGAATCACCCACGGGTGTAGATACATAAATAGAAGAACTCAAAGAATCACGTGATACTCCCAAATACTGGGCAAAATAAGATGACACATAAGAATAAGTGGAGCCTGGATTAAATAAGACTGATGCATCTCTATGACAGACCGGAACAATACTTGTGATAATAGAATCGGATGCAACTGCCTCCGTTCTAGCAGGAAGGGCATAATATCTGGCATGGCCTCCCCCTCTAGGGCGACCTCTACCTGTCCAACCTCCGCCTCTAGCTGGCTGTGCAGGTGGGGTGGTAGCTGGTGCAGTAATCATAGCCTGAGAAGCCTGAGGGCCCTGTGGAATAGGTGGGGCCTGCGAAATCTGTGGAGGTGCACCCCTCCTGAATCTGGGGCAATCCCTAACCATATGACGAGTGTCACCACACTTAAAACAAGCTCTCAGAGGATATGGTTGCTGTGATTGGCTCGGGCCTGATCGACTGGACTGACTGCTGGAAGCACCCCGTATAGGAGGTACACTAGACAATGGAAGTGCATAATAGGGATCCTAGGGCCTAGGAGTGGCCGGAGTACCGCTGGCGACTGGAAGTGCTGAATGAACAGGGCGACTCCCATAACCCCTACCCTGACGAGCTGTAGCTGGGGCACGAGAACTGTTATACGTGCCAGAATCTCGAGGTCTCTTAGCTTCTCTCTCTTCTCTCTCCCGGATCCACATACCCTGCAATCTCCTAGCAATTAACACCACATGCTGGTATGCGATGTCCATCTCCAGCTCTCGGGCCATATTAAATCTGATACTAGAGTGGAGTCCCTCAATAAATCAACGAACCCTCTCTTGAACAGTAGCAACCAAGGCTGGTGCAAGCCTAGACAAATCACTGAATCAGACAACATACTCTGACACGGTCATAGAACCCTGGTGCAACTGCTCAAACTCCGTGCGCTATGCATCTCTGAGACTCTGAGGAACATACCTAAACACTGAGTCCAAGTGAGTGAAGCTGCTTCAACCGGACTATCCAACTCGTATACCCACCACCACTGGTAGGCCGCTCCTCTAAGCTGGAATGTGGTGAAAGAAACCCCACTAGAATCCACAATACCCATAGTACTGAGGATGCGATGACATTCTTCAAGAAAACCCTAAGCATCCTTTGAAGCCAAACCGCTGAAAGTGGGAGGGTGGTACTTCTTGTATCTCTCGAGCCTGAGTTGTTCCCCCTCTGAAACTGCTGCCCTAACCTCGGGCTGAACTGGGACAACTGGCTGCATTGGTATAACTTTCAGGGCATGGTCAACTTGGGCCCGTGGATATAGGCTACGGGTGGCGGGCGTTTGTACTCCTACCCCGGCCTGAGATGTGGCAGGAGCATGTGGAATCAAACCTGCATGAGCTAGAGTGCCAAACATGCTCAAAAATTGGGCAAGAGTCTCCTGAAGTGCAGGGGTAGTAACAGGCATCTCAGGTGCCTGCTCTCCAACTGGAGCTACTGGTGG